CCCCCCCCCCCCCCCCGAATCTGCAGTAAAGCGAATAGAGGTCGTGAACGCGATATCATGGAAGGTGTTTTCAAAGTAAATGAGCGTTTCCGCTATTTATTTTTAATGTATGAGATCAACACAACATTGGGGTCATGGAAGTTATTATGCTTCTGTCAATTCATGACGCGTTATTTTTGAGTCTTTTAACATCAAACACTGTCAGTAATTACTTTGTTTTAGGTGCTGTGCAACTGACTGGTGGAACTAATCGTTTTAATGGGCGAGTACAAGCTTTTGAAAACGGAAAATGGTATAACCTATGCAATGATAACTGGACAAACAAAAATTTGGAAGTGACATGCCGGCAACTTGGAACAAGGTATGTAATTATATATAATGAATTACACAGAGGTTTATTTGTTTCGTCTTTGATTTGAATTATTGATATTTAACTTAGAAAGCCACACATGTATTTTTATAATTTAATGATCTATTGAAATTTATTAACAGCGGAAAAGAAAACGGAAACGAAGCTAACCCTAATGCTTATTATTTTACTGTGGACTTCCAATGTGGAGGCACTGAAGAATATCTTTTCAAATGCACGTACAGCAATTATCGTTCATGCTCATCTAACGCAATAGTCGTGGTGACATGTGTAATTCCAGGTAATAACTTATTTCAGTTATTGCTTACATATTGATTAAAAGTCAGTAGAATCATTTATCTCAATACAAAGAAGGCATTTAATTGAAACGGTCCAATTGGTATTATTTAGTATCGTTTATAGGGTATTCAACGTAAACGTAACGGTAACTACTATCTAAAGATACTTCAATATTGAAATGACCACCTTGAAAGAATACATTATTTCTTATTATTGTCGTTGGTATTGTTTTAGGAATTTCTTACCTATCTTGGTTATGGTGACATGTCATCAATATTACCCGATCAAATATATATTCATCAACACAGCATGTGCGTACAGTTATTAACAAGTGGGACGTCACATTGTTAGCTATTATAAATTAGTACAGCTGCATATTTGAACTTTACGGAGCATTATGCATTTCATAGCGTTTACCTACGTTAGAAGCTCGTGATTTTTACATGAGATATAACAAGCATTTATTGGTTTACATTTTCTATCTTATACTACGATAGTATCCCCTCGAAATGGAAGGTGTGATATAGACTTACAAGAGACCTGTGGTACCACATTGACCTGTCAGGATGTTAATGGATTCGGGAGATGTATCTGTGGTAATGATTCATTCTGGGACGAAAACACAAACAAATGTGAAAAGAGTAAGTATATTGTACATAGCACCATCAAAGTGTATGTTCCTAATTTGAACGCCAAACAAATATATATTTAACAGCGTAAACACAAAAGAACAAAAGGTGGCAATTACCATGATGTCTATAGTCTTTATGTGTAGACATATGAAACTTCAAATAGGAATCATTCATTTTAAGTACATGCTTGATTTTAGTAGTCAGACTGGCATATATCTGTATATTTATTTTATATCAATAATTTTGCTTTACTACAAAGCAACATGAAATGACTTTTGGTTTCTCAAGGTCAATCAGAAACGAAAAAACCCAGCCAGGTTTATAGTGCTGAAAGCCTTAGGTAATTGGTATTAAACAAAATATTTGTAAATCAACAAGCCTTTTAAGTGATTTTATAAACTATGCTAACATGGACATTTTCATTTGACATTTTTATATTTATCAAGCAAATTTTGCGAATGCATAGGTATCTCGCCAATGTTCAGCAATTATATAACATATACCCATACGTGGAGTCGACGTTTTAAGTCGATATCGAATCGTCGATAGATTCATCTTTTGTGTGTGTATTAACTGGATTAAAGTCGAAGGTTATTGGAGACCGATCTACGTTCCTTGATTTGACAGGATGTATCATGACCGGTGTGGCTTTTTGTTGGAAAAATACTCTCCTGACTATTAGGAACGTTTGCATTGTTTAATGGTATTTGGTGCCGATTATTTTGGTGTTCCCTCAGTGGTTTGCTTCTGAATGTCTTTGGATTTCGATCTTGTCGATATCTATCAATTCTAAACATATTTATGTCACAAGAGAGCGCAATTTACAAGTG